GAAAACCTATAAGAAACATGTTTCGAGTCGTTCAGGTTACTTTATCTTGAAATTCAAATTTTCAGCACGAAATTGTTTGTGTGAATCTCAAGAACTAAGAAATTTCTAGAATTCAAAATCGAGCGACGGAAACTAGATGAGTTATATACCATTCGATGCAGTTTTTCACGCTGATTCCGAATATGACCGCATTCTTGAGAAAAAGTGGTTTTGTCGGTACGAAAACCAAGAAATACCTTCAAAACCCTACGAGTTTTCTAAAATCCATAACTCGACTTAGACAAAAAGTTACAAAAAGTTACATGCTCCACAGATAGAGTAGGTGTTGGGGAACATTTTCATGTATTTGAATGTTAATTTAGAGTGGGGCTAACGAGGACTCGTCGACTATACTGAGGTAGTGTCGTGTTGGACTGATGCTATGAAGAATGCATGAGCTTTTACTTATTGAACTCGGTTCCGAAGTTGAAACATTTTGTTACCAGAAGATAGCGGAGAAAAAACGTGTTTTACATCTATTATCATTTTTTAATTAAGACCACACGAATTTATTTAAAAATCTCGCTTATATTAAAAACACATATTAAGAGATACGAAATTCTATTTTGTTTCCAACCATCAAGGTACTCTTATATACCTTGGACCCGTGTTGCACCGGACAAAGATGAATTACAATTACTCTAATAAACGGAGTAATTGGAATAGGAATTGAAGTGGACGGCCACCTCAACAGTTCAAAAGTCAAGTTAATCAAGTTCAACAACAGCAAAATCAGCAGAATTCTCAAACTACGCTAGGAACGACATAATAGGCAGTATGATATGGAGACGATGCTAAATTATATTCGAGGTAATCTACAAGTTGCATTAGGAGTCCATCAACAGCTATTTGAAAGTCAGCGAGTTAACTTAAATTCGAATACGAATTCCTCTTCACCGCCGGTTCAACTACAACCACAATTAATCTCTACTCCTACTACTCATAAAAGAGGCCTCGATGAGAGCACTAGTGGAGGTAGACAAGAATCTAAGAAAAATATACAACACAATCAAGATATAAATAACAACATGAATGCATCAGTTATCAATGCAACAACAACTCTTTCTCAAGCACTACGCCAACAACAAATTACTCAGTCACAATATGTCCAACCTATTTCCTTTCAACAATTAAAGAGAGCTGTATCAAGTAATTTACCATGCCTTTTGATAGAATTTGACCCATCTGTAGATCGTAAAGAAAAGTGGGCCTTAATAATAAAGAAAATTATGCTGATTTAATGTCAGCAAATATATGGCCAGATAAAGTTGGAAATGTTGGTATTACGGTTATCAAGCTATCTTATATACCAGATGCTTTTAGTATTGTGGTTCGTTTTGTGGATCAACAATATCATGATGAATTTGTAAAAAGTGAAATAGAGCGAAATTTTCAATCAGCCGAAAATAAATACATAGATACATGTCAGTTATAGTTCCATAAATAAATTCAGTAATTCCAGTAGAAACTTTTAGCTAACTTGATCTTCTGGCCTAATGTTTGGCTTTTAGTATCTGGTCTACTTCACGACACACATTGATTGTATCAGATCATAACAGACCTTGCGCATAACTTTCATAGATTATATGATATAGTAATGTTTTTCTCATCTTTACTGGGTTGTAGATATTTTCTAGCAAGACGTCATCCATTCAAAACGTCATAGGTAAATGACATTTTGACATCCGCACCCCTGTACAAATCTCTTCAGAATTGAACTCTCCGATCGAGACAAATAGAGTTTCAGATCAGATCCTATGCTTTTACAAAGAAGTTTTGGATTATTATAACACAATTTCATTCATTCATCATCATTCTATGCTAAAATCGTATCAGTTTATAAGAAACTATGTATAGTTTATGAGAAAAAGGAAAATCCGACTATTACACCTAAATACTACAAAATGGCTGTAGAACTATTAATGAAATCTTGATAGTTAACCTGTATTTCATCTTGAAACGAACATTTTTTGATATATAAAGATACAATCACGCTATTGTTTGTTATTTATATTTGCAAACGAAAAATGTAATGAAATCATAAATTTTTTACAATCATAACGCAGTGTACATTTTCTATGTCACTGTTCGCTATACAATCTTGTTCTGTAATACGTCCAATAGAAAATGTTCAGTCCGAAGGAGACAAGCTTTTCTTCTTTTTTAACTATTTTAAGCGAGACTCTGTCAGAAACTTTAACATCTTCTATAGGCTATAGGCCTGTAACATGAGAAAGTTTTCAGTATTTACGGTATAAAGGATCGGACGGATTTTGTTAAATCTCAGTACTTAAGGGTTTTGACCGACGCTCTTTTCTTCAATTTTTGAAGAGTAAGATAAAGTCGTTTCCATCCATCACATACGATAAAAATTAGACAAAATATCGGAGGTATCGATAATAGTGAAAAGAAGCTAACCTTTGTCTGAGGTTTTCTCGAAAACTCTTTAAAATCTGTTCAAAAGTCTCTTTCAGACATTCAGAAACCAATGGGTTTTGCTCAGTTCTTGAAACTCTATCGATAACTGCATCTTAAAATTCCATCATATGCTTTTAAAGTGCTGAAAAAGGTACTAAAATATAATTAGTATGTGGGTTTTTAAAAATCTTTAGAATACAACGTAGAAAAGTTCTGAAAATACGAAATCATTCTATGAGTACTTGGAATTGATCACTGGGCATTCTTTTTCCAAAACTCAGGTTGGAACCGGTGCTGCAGGATTTGAAAAGTGGAAGAAAAATGACTTTGAACTTTTATAATGTTTTCATATATTCATTAATAGCTTGTTGTCGGGTGCCAGTTGTTCTTCAGAGGAAAAATAATTCTCTCTCTCTCCCTCTTCTTCAATGTTGTTTTCATTTCATTTTTCTTAAATCCATCTTTTAAAGCAACTGAAATCACAAGGAACGTGATGTGGTGAATCCCTATTGACTGTGGACCGCTTCTGGCAGACTCAGTTCGAATACAGTCTATCGACATCACAACTTGTGCGCAGCGCAATCGCAATCTAGTTTTATATTATATTTTCAATTTATGAAAAGTCGTTTCAGAAACAAAATCAGTCATATCAATAAGAAATTAAGATAACAAATATGTGTGTGAAACGTTGCTGCGCTACATATGTTCTTAATTCAGAATTAAGTCAGGGAGTGGGAGTTATAAAAGCGAGGTATCCTTTTAGTACTAAAAACAAATTTATGCTATAAACAGTTGTATTCTCATATAAATTGTTTTGAAAAATATCTGTTATTAGAAAAATTATCATATTTGCTTTTTACATGCTTCATATTGTTTCTAAGAACATACAAGGTATGCCCCACCAACTAAAAAGAAAGACATGGCAAATATAAAATACATTACAGAAACCGACGAAATAATAACTGGTATGCAGGTAAGGTGCCGGCAGAGCGAATTTTGAGTAAAATTTTTTTCGCTTTTTATTTACATCATTTGATAGAGCTATAGATTATTCATAGAGCTGATCACGAAAGTCTACTTTTTAGCCTGAGTGAACGCTTCCTTCCGGTCGAAAAATACGATATACTCCAAATGTGTCGTTTTCTTCAAAAACACATGCTTTTCAAAAATGTGCAACATTTTCTAGCTCGTTCTTTTTTTCAACTTCTGAAAATAATTTTTTCAGATTCAGCATCAAAAACTGAGTATAGATTACCTGATAAATCGACTCTAGGCCCAAAACTCTATTGGCGGTGGCGCTTCGAATTGTGTCGACTATGATGCGTATAGGTCGATTTTGTAAACCTATCTACTTTTTCTATGTGAACGATGGAGTTAATTATTTCATCTCATTCCATTCATCATACCACCCGTCATCAAACTACGTATCCTTTTTCTTTGCCTTTTCTTTCCTATGTTGAGAAAAATCGTTTTTACTGTATGATACGAAAAGGGGGGAGGTCATTTTACATAGAATGTTTGTTTTTTATCCAAATCAAGTGAAAATTTGTTCACATAGGTAAAACTTATCACGAATCCAATGGACATAGTTTCGAGGCCCGTATGAGGTCTTCAGAAGGTCTCTGGAAAACCTGTTCTTGAAAACCCATAGTTTGTTGTTCTGGTTAGGATTTACTGTTTTACGTCCCTTGATTTGGCAAATCTACTGTTTTACGTACTTTTCTGTATAATATAAAGGTATAAAGGTAATTAGTAATGGTGACTCACCCATGTGGAATATTCCAGCCCACAGTCCTCATAGAATACTTATATGTAAGCGCAGTAATCGAAACTTTTTAAATATACTTTCTATTATGCTATTTTTTGTGGTCTTTACTAGTTCATGGTGAATCAACATTTAGAAACGATGAAGTTAGTCCAAAACGGTGGTTTTTCAAAGAGAATACACCGTTTTTTTCAAAAGGACGTGAACGGAGTCACATGATTTCGGATTTTCTCGTTCAACATCCGAGTGGACACTATAAGTCATTAAGTGATGATGGTGATGTTAATTATCTTCGTCAACCAGCAACAGCTAGTATTAATATCGGAACAGATGTTTACTTCGATAATGATACGATCTTAAGTCAGTTTGAAAGACTTTTTCAAATACTAGAATATAAACAAGAATACAAGAATAATCAGATAGAAATCATCGTGGACAACGCAAGAACCCATAGTGCTAAAGCATATTCATTACAAGATTTTGGTAAAAATATCGGTACTCGTTGTCCAGTTAAACAAATTGAATATATCGATGAAAACGGCGCAATAAAAGTTATTGATTATTATTTTCAACGTGGAGAAAACAAAGATAAATCAAAAGGTTTAGTTGAATTACGTAAAGATCTAGGTATTAAATTACCAGATAAAGCTAAGTTAAAGGAAATTCATGAAATACTTTCAACACATTGTGCGTTTCAAAATGTAAGTGAAACTCGTTTTATCCTTTCAAAGATAGATTTCGCCTTCTATCATTTACTTTTCTATCTAGGTTACAAAACTTGAAATGCTGGCGGTTAAATACAGTATTAAGATTATCTACTGTCGTAAATACCATTGCGAACTAAATGCCATTGAAGGTCTTTGGTGTAATCAAAAAGCATATGTTCGTTCACGCACTGATCAAACTTTTGATAAAATGATAAAATTAATATCTGAATCACGTATAAATTTTGTCCAACGAAAAATTTCATTGAAATTATTTCGACGTTTCTGGCGTGCAATCGAAGCCTATTCTAAAGGTCAAACATATGCTAATGCTTTAGCACTATTCTTCAGTCAATTTTGTTAAACAACAATTCAATCACATCGTAAAATAACAAACACAAACATAGACGAAAATTAATGGAAATGTTTTCCTATTTGAACACTTATTCTGCATGTATACCTTTATATTATACAGAAAAGCACGTAAAACAGTAGATTCGCATGAAAAATTAATCAATTTCTGCATTAAAAATGATTAAATCCTAACCAGAACATAATACTATGGGTTTTCAAGAAAAGGTTTTTCAGAGACCCTCTGCAGACCTCGAAACTATGTCCATTGGATTCGTCATCAGTTTTTACCTATGTGAACAAATTTTCACTTGATTTCGATAAAAAACAAACATTCTATGTAAAAATGACCTCCCCCTTTTTCGTATCATACAG